TCCTCCTCCTCCTCCTCCTCCCCCTCCTCCTCCTCCTCCCCCTCCTCTTCCCCCTCGGGGAGCTCCCCGTGCGCAAAGGGGGGGCGGGCGGCAGAGGCTCCGAGCTCCGGCCCGCGCTTTTCGCGGGGGGCGCGCGAGGCCACCGGCGGCCTCGAGCACCCCGGGGACGTGTCGGTGATGTGGCACGTCTGGGAGACCAGCCGGGGGCGGCACCTCACGGACCCCGCGGTGCGGCCGCCCTCCGTCTAGGCCTCCTAGATGGGGCCGGAGTAGATGGGGTCGAAGGAGCGCGCCGCATCGCCGATGCATCGCCGATGCGGCTCGATGTGGAGCCCGATTTGCTTCACGTCGACGTCGCCGATTCATCGCTGACGTCGACGATGCATTGCTGGTGCATCGCCGATGCATCGCCGATGCATCGCCGATGCATCGTCGATGTATCATCGATGCGGCGCCATCCTCCGACCCCATCTACTCGGACCCCATCTAGGAGGCCTCTACTCCGCCCCCCTCGCGGGCGAAGAGAGGGCCCTCTCCAGGGATCGAAAAGGATGGATTTTTTTCGAGGAGCGCGTGCTCGAGGGTCGAGGGTCGAGCTGTTGTGCTGCATCCTTTCCCTCGTTTGGGGGGCCTTCCACGGGGCTTCTCGTCGCCGCGGCCAGGTCCGCCTGGAAAGTCTCTCCAGAACGCACCCTGGAGCAGGGGATCGTTTGTCGACCCCTGGGACCAGGCATCCTCGCCTCGCGAAAAATCGCGACGGGCGGTTTTTGGTAATTTTCGGCCTCTGGGGGCCCTCACTGGGCCCCAGGACCTTCAAGAAGAACGACTGGGGGTGAACAGCCTGTCCCCAGGGAAGGTTTCCGGACCTCTGGGGAGTCACGTTCCCAGGCGTCCGAATGTACGACTCCTCTCGCTTCGCGAGGTGCACGCCCAGATCACGTACAATCCAGTCGTCGTGGGATTCCTGGGAGCCGCTTGGAGGGCACCCAGACGGCCCAAGAGGGGTCCAAAACAGCCCAAGAGGCTAGACGGCCCCGAGAGAGCCCCAAGAGGGCCCCAAGAGACTTCCGAGGTGGCCCGAAGAGGCGGTGTGGGGACTGGGCTGCTTGGGTGTGGGGACTGGGCTGGCCCTAAGACTGCCCAAGAGTCCCCAAACGGCCCTCAAGAGGGCTCCCGAGAGGGCCTCAGGGGGCCAAGAACATTGTTGTGCCTACGGTTTTCAACATGTTTTTGGGGTGCTCGCCTTTTCGGCCCCGGAAGGGCCCCAGACGGCCCAGAGGTCACAAAGATCATCCACAACACGGCCCCAGAGGCCCCCAAACGGCCCCAAAACGGCTCCAGAGGGCCCCCCAGAAAACCCACGAGGGCCCCAAGACGGCCCAAGAGGGCCCCAAGACGGCCCTACGAGAGCACCAAGATGGCCTCAAGAGGCGCCTACGAGGGCCCGCAGAGGCGGTGTGGGGACCGGGCTGCTTGGATGTGATGACTGGGCTGTCCCCAAGACGGCCCAAGAGTCCCAAAACGGTCCCAAAGGGGCCCCAAAAGACTCCCAAGAAGCCCCAGAGACGCCAAGGAAGGCCATGGCTCCCCGCAGCGTGTCGTGACGTAATAAGCTCTGAACACCAAGGCTCCCCAGAGCGCGGTGACGTAAAGAGCTCTGAACAGCAAGGCTCCCAAGAGCGAGCGGCAACGTAAATATCTCTGAACACCAGGGCTCCCAACAGAGAGCGATGACGCACCAAGCTCTTCACCAAGGCTCCCCAGAGCGAATGATGCCAGGAGCCATCTGGGGCCAGTTCCTGCAGCGCTCTTTCCGTTCCCGTGCCGGCCAAGGTGACGGAAAGAGCGAATTACGAGTGATGTGCGTTATTTGGTGGGGCGAAGGCCTTCAGGGAGGGGTTCCAGGAGAGAGGCGAGGCGCGCGAACCTGGGCTCCGATGGCCTTTTGGGGCCCCCGAGGCGCCCACAAGACGGGCCAATACAGCCCCAAGACGCCCCAGGACGGCCCGAGAGCGCCCCAAGACAGCCTAAATTGGCTCCAAGACGGTCCACGAGGCCCCCAGGACACCCTAAGATGGCTCCAAGACGGTCCAAGAGGTCCCCAAGATACCCCTAAGAGGACCCAACAGAGGCTGAAATCGTCAAATTCCTATGGGAAAGCGTGCATTTTTAGCATGTTAGCTTTTTCGGCTTTCACAGGGTTCAAGACAGCCCAAGAGGCTCCCAAAATCGCACCTGGACGGCCCAACAGGGGCCCAGGAGCGCCCCAAGACGGGCCAAGACGGGCCCAAGACGGCCCAAGAGGGGCCCAAGATGGCCCCTGGACGGCCCAAGAGGGCCCAAGAGGGCCCCCAGAGTCTCGGCTCCTAAGAGGGCCCCCCGAAGCCCCCGAGAGAGCCCCAAGACGGTCCAAAGCCTCCAAGACGCCCCCTGACGCCCCAAGACGGTCCAAACGGGCCCCAACACGGTCCAAAAGGGCCCCAGAAGAGCTCCAAAAAGACCCCCAAGAAGGCCCAGAGACGCCAAATGAAAGAGCGACCGGTGACGCAAAAAGCTCTTCTCACCAAGGCTCCCAACAGCGAACGGTGACGTGACAAACTCTTGACACCAAGGCTCCCAAGAGCGAACGGTGACGTACACAACTCTCAATACCAAGGCTTCCAAGAGGGAGCGGCAACGTAAAAGTCTCTGAACACCAAGGCTCCCAAGAGCGAGCGGTGACGTAACAAGCTCTTACCACCAAGACGGCCAAAGGCTTCCAAGACGCCCCAAGACAATTCAAAAGGGCCCCAAGACGGCCCAGAATTGCCCCCAAAGGGCTCCGAAAGGGCTCCATACGGGCTCCAGAAGACCCCGACGAGGCCCAAGAGACGCTCAAGAACACCATGGCTCCCAACAGCGAGCGGTGACGTAACCAGCTCTTGACACCAAGGCTCCCAAGAGCGAGTGGCAACGCAAAAGTCTCTGAACACCAGGGCTCCCAACGGAGAGGGGCGACGTAACAAGCTCTTCACACCAAGGCTCTCCCAAGAGCGAAGGGTGCCGTGAGCCATCTCGGGCAAGTTCTGGAGGCGCTCTTTCCGTTGCCGTGCCCGCCCAGGTGACGGAAAGAGCGAGGTACGAGTGATGACGTTCTGGTGGGGCGAAGCCCTCTAGGGAGGGGTCCAGGGGATGGGGCGAGGGGCGGGCTACTCGCATCTAATGGCCAGCTTTCCTCATATTTTTCGAGTGAGACGGCTCCCGGGCGGCTCCCATGGCCTGTTTCTTCGTATTTTTCGAATGAAGCGGCCAGAGGGCACCAAGACGGCCCAAGAGGGCCCCAAAATGGCACCAGAGGGCCCCAAGACGGCCTCAAGAGAGCTTCAGGTGGCCTCCAGACGGTCCAAGAAAGCCTCGAGACGGCTCCAGAGGCCCTCCAGAGGGCCCCCGAGAGGGCCTGAGGAGGCCAACAACATAGATTTTCCATAGGTTTTTTGAGGTTTTTCGGGTTCTCCCCTTTTCGGGTTCAGAAGGGCCCCCGACGGCCCGAGAGGCCCCAAAGATCGTCCTAAGACGGTCCCAGAGGCTCCCCAGAGACGCCGAAAACGGTCCAAGAGGTCCCGACGGGCCCAAGAGAGGAGCCCAAAACGGCCCAAGAAGGCCCCAAGACGGCCCAAGAGGGCCTCAAGACGGCCCCAAGAGAGCCCGCACCCACAGAGTCTCCCAAAAGAGCCCCAAGAGAGCCCCCAAGAGAGCCCCTGAGACGGCCAAAGGCTTCCAAGACGCCCCAACACGGCCCAAAAGGGCTCCGAGACGGCTTAAATTGACCCACAAGGGCTCCCTAAGGGCTCCAAAAGGGCCCCGCGAAGACCCCGACGAGGCCCAAGAGACGCTCAAGAACACCATGGCTCCCATCAGCGAGCGCTGACGTAAAGAGCTCTTGACACCAAGGCTCCCAAGAGCGAGCGGCAACGCAAAAGTCTCTGAACACCAGGGCTCCCAACGGAGAGCGGCGACGTAACAAGCTCTTCACACCCGCGCCATCTCGGGCAAGTTCCTGAGGCGCTCTTTCCGTTGAAGTGCCGGAAAAGGTTTAATGGCCTTCAGCCCATCCCGCCACTATGCCTGGGTTGTGGGTATGAAGCCTATTGGAGGTTCGTTGGGATCTCGTGGGAGGCTTCTCGGCGGCCTCTTGGAGGCAGCTTGGACGCCTCTTGGGAGCCGTTTTGGGGCCTCTTAGGGCCTCTTGGGGGCCCCTTGGGGGCCTTTTGGATCCTCCTGGGCGCCTCGTGGGGCCTTCTGGGGGCCCCTTGGGGCGGGGGGCTCGGATTTCCGGTTCGTGTTCCCTCTCTTGGGCCCCTTTTGGGGCCGTCTTGGGGCCCTCTTCGGCCGTCTTGGGCGCCTCTTGGGCCGTCTTGGGGTTGGGCCGATGTTGGGCCCTCTTCGAGGCCTCTTGGGCCGTCTTTGGGCGGTCTTGGGCTTCTAGGGCTGTCTGGGAGCGTCGGGAAGCCGAAAAGACGAGAACGCCAAAAACCTTTGAAAACTTTGAAGACAATCGAAGATTTTGGCATTTTGGGGCCCTCTCCTCTTGGAGCTCTCTTGGGGCGTCCTGGAGGCCTCTTGAGCCGTTGTGGGGCCATCTTGGGCGTCGTGGGCCGATCTTTTGGCGTCTCGGGGCCCTCTTGGGTCGTCTGGGCTGTCGCCTGGGGCCCTCTTGGCCTGTCTTGGGGCCCTGTCGGCCCTGGGAAAGTCCTGCGAGAACGCTTCCCGGAGCCACGGGGGCACGCGACAAGCCGCCAGGAGATTTCGGACATTCGGCTCTGGGCACCTGATAGACCTCAGGACTGAGGACTGAGGCTCCAGGGATACAGTCGGGGCCCTGAAGAAGGAACCCTTTTGGTTGGGGAGGGGCTCCGCGTTCCTGAAGTGTTTCACAACTTGCCTCAGGTTTTCCTTCTGTCTTCGATAGGAAATCGAAGTTTAACTTATGGAAAAAAGGGGCCTCGTTCCTTATTTAGGGT